GCGACCATCCAGTTCAACCCTAAGCTCTTCTTTTTTTCGTATCAGTAATGTAGTGTACCAGGCTATGATGTCTAGCGGGTGGTGTGGGGCGGCTTCCTCGTGTCTACCCCACACCTGCTGGGGGCCACACCTGCTGCTGGGGGCTCCCACACCTGCTGCTGGGGGCTCCCACACCTGCTGCTGGGGGCTCCCACACCTGCTGCTGGGGGCTCCCACACCTGCTGCTGGGGGCTCCCACACCTGCTGCTGGGGGCTCCCACACCTGCTGCTGGGGGCTCCCACACCTGCTGCTGGGGGCCCACACATGCTGCTGGGGTCCACACCTGCTGCTGGGGCCCCACACCTGCTGCTGGGGGCCTACACCTGCTGCTGGGAGCCCAAACCTGCTGCTGGGGACCCACACCTGCTGCTGGGGGCCCACACCTGCTGCTAGGGGGCCCCACACCTGCTGCTGGAGGCCCACACCTGCTGCTGGGGGCCCACACCTGCTGGAGGCCACACCTGCTGCTGGGGGCCCACACCTGCTGCTGGGGGCCCACACCTGCTGGAGGCCCACACCTGCTGCTGGGGGCCCACACCTGCTGGAGGCCCACACCTGCTGCTGGAGGCCCACACATGCTGCTGGGGGCCTACACCTGCTGCTGGGGGGGCCCACACCTGCTGCTGGGGCCCACACCTGCTGGGGGCCCACACTGCTGTTGGAGGCCCACACCTGCTGCTGGGGGCCCACACCTGCTGCTGGAGGCCCACACCTGCTGCTGGGGGCCCACACCTGCTGCTGGAGGCCCACACCTGCTGCTGGGGGCCCACACCTGCTGCTGGGGGCCCACACCTGCTGGGGGCCCACACCTGCTGCTGGAGGCCCACACCTGCTGCTGGGGACCCACACCTGCTGCTGCGGCCCACACCTGCTGCTGGGGGCCCACACCTGTTGCAATAATGGGAGGCGTCACAACACCAATTATTGCGTCACAACACCAATTATTGCGTCACAACACCAATTATCGCGTCACAACACCAATTATTGCGTCACAACACCAATTATCGCCTCACAACACCATTATTGCGTCACAACACCAATTATCGCCTCACAAAACCCATTATTGCGTCACAACACCAATTATCGCGTCACAACACCAATTATTGCGTCACAACACCAATTATTGCGTCACAACACCAATTATCGCGTCACAACACCAATTATTGCCTCACAACACCAATTATCGCGTCACAACACCAATTATCGCCTCACAACACCAATTATCGCGTCACAACACCAATTATTGCGTCACAACACCCATTATTGTGTCACAACACCAATTATCGCGTCACAACACCCATTATTGCGTCACAACACCAATTATCGCGTCACAACACCAATTATCGCCTCACAACACCAATTATCGCGTCACAACACCAATTATTGCGTCACAACACCAATTATTGCGTCACAACACCAATTATCGCCTCACAACACCAATTATCGCGTCACAACACCAATTATTGCGTCACAACACCAATTATTGCGTCACAACACCAATTATTGCGTCACAACACCAATTATTGCGTCATAACACCAATTATTGCGTCACAACACCAATTATCGCGTCACAACACCAATTATCGCGTCACAACACCCATTATTGCGTCACAACACCAATTATCGCGTCACAACACCAATTATTGCCTCACAACACCAATTATCGCGTCACAACACCAATTATCGCCTCACAACACCCATTATTGCGTCACAACACCAATTATTGCGTCAATGATTTCAAAGATTCAAAGATCAAGACGGAAGAGACGGCATATTAGATTTAGACAGGCGCGTCGTGGCCAGGTAACAGAGACGGACAGAATGACAGACGTTATACAGGTTGAGGCAAGACAGGCGTCACCCTGGCGGACCCGTCCCCGTCTGTGACGCACGTGGTCCCGCCCCCGTCTGTCTGTGACGCACGTGGTCCCGCCCCCGTCTGTGACGCACGTGGTCCCGCCCCCGTCTGTCTGTGACGCACGTGGTCCCGCCCCCGTCTGTCTGTGACGCACGTGGTCCCGCCCCCGTCTGTGACGCACGTGGTCCCGCCCCGTCTGTCTGTGACGCACGTGGTCCCGCCCCCGTCTGTCTGTGACGCACGTGGTCCCGCCCCCGCCTGTCTGTGACGCACGTGGTCCCGCCCCCGTCTGTGACGCACGTGGTCCCGCCCCCGTCTGTGACGCACGTGGTCCCGCCCCCGTCTGTCTGTGACGCACGTGGTCCCGCCCCCGTCTGTGACGCACGTGATCCCGCCCCCGTCTGTCTGTGACGCACGTGGTCCCGCCCCGTCTGTCTGTGACGCACGTGATCCCGCCCCCGTCTGTGACGCACGTGGTCCCGCCCCCGTCTGTGACGCACGTGATCCCGCCCCCGTCTGTCTGTGACGCACGTGATCCCGCCCCCGTCTGTGACGCACGTGATCTCGCCCCCGTCTGTCTGTGACGCACGTGATCCCACCCCCGTCTGTCTGTGACGCACGTGATCCCACCCCCGTCTGTGACGCATGTGGTCCCGCCCCCGTCTGTGACGCACGTGGTCCCGCCCCCGTCTGTCTGTGACGCACGTGGTCCCGCCCCCGTCTGTCTGTGACGCACGTGATCCCACCCCGTCTGTGACGCATGTGATCCCGCCCCCGTCTGTGACGCACGTGGTCCCGTCCCCGTCTGTGACGCATGTGATCCCGCCCCCGTCTGTGACGCACGTGGTCCCGTCCCCGTCTGTGACGCACGTGGTCCCGCCCCCGTCTGTCTGTGACGCACGTGGTCCCGCCCCCGTCTGTCTGTGACGCACGTGATCCCGCCCCCGTCTGTGACGCATGTGATCCCGCCCCCGTCTGTGACGCACGTGGTCCCGTCCCCGTCTGTGACGCACGTGGTCCCGCCCTAGTTACTGTCTAACTCATCCTAGCCACACCTAGCGCCAAGGAGACGGGTGTCTACCTGTGACGACGGCCCCAGCAGCGTCCTGGCACCCAGCAGACGGCCTAGCAGCGTCCTGGCACCCAGCAGACGGCCTAGCAGCGTCCTGGCACCCAGCAGACGGCCCAGCAGCCTCCTAGCACCCAGCAGACGGCCTAGCAGCGTTCTGGCACCCAGCAGACGGCCTAGCAGCGTCCTGGCATCCAGCAGACGGCCTAGCAGCGTCCTGGCACCCAGCAGACGGCCTAGCAGCGTCCTGACACCCAGCAGACGGCCTAGCAGCGTCCTGGCACCCAGCAGACGGCCTAGCAGCGTCCTGACACCCAGCAGACAGCCTAGCAGCCTCCTGGCACCCAGCAGCCTCCTAGCTCCCAGCAGACGACCAAGCAGCGTCCTGGCACCCAGCAGACGGCCTAGCAGCGTCCTGGCACCCAGCAGACGGCCTAGCAGCGTTCTGGCACCCAGCAGACGGCCTAGCAGCGTCCTGGCACCCAGCAGACGGCCTAGCAGCGTTCTGGCACCCAGCAGACGGCCTAGCAGCGTCCTGGCACCCAGCAGACGGCCTAGCAGCGTCCTGGCACCCAGCAGACGGCCTAGCAGCGTCCTGACACCCAGCAGACGGCCTAGCAGCGTCCTGGCACCCAGCAGACGGCCTAGCAGCGTCCTGACACCCAGCAGACAGCCTAGCAGCCTCCTGGCACCCAGCAGCCTCCTAGCACCCAGCAGACGACCAAACAGCGTCCTGGCACCCAGCAGACGGCCTAGCAGCGTCCTGGCACCCAGCAGACGGCCTAGCAGCGTTCTGGCACCCAGCAGACCGCCTAGCAGCCTCCTGGCACCCAGCAGCCTCCTAGCACCCAGCAGACGACCAAGCAGCGTCCTGGCACCCAGCAGACGGCCCAGCAGCCTCCTGGCACCCAGCAGACGACCCAGCAGCCTCCTAGCACCCAGCAGACGGCCTAGCAGCCTCCTGGCACCCAGCAGCCTCCTAGCACCCAGCAGACGACCAAGCAGCGTCCTGGCACCCAGCAGACGGCCAAGCAACGTCCTGGCACCCAGCAGACGGCCAAGCAGCCTCCTGGCACCCAGCAGACGGCCAAGCAGCCTCCTGGCACCCAGCAGACGGTCTAGCAGCCTCCTAGCACCCAGCAGACGGCCTAGCAGCCTCCTAGCACCCAGCAGACGGCCCAGCAGCCTCCTGGCACCCAGCAGACGGCCTAGCAGCCTCCTGGCACCCAGCAGACGGCCTAGCAGCCTCCTAGCACCCAGCAGACGGCCTAGCAGCCTCCTAGCACCCAGCAGACGGCCCAGCAGCCTCCTGGCACCCAGCAGACGGCCCAGCAGACGGCCTAGCAGCCTCCTGGCACCCAGCAGACGCCTCCAACCCCCTGGCCCGGCGCCACCTCTGTCTGGCACTGTGTAATTGACAAACAGTAAATAGGGGTGACGGCGCCCACGTGTTGACGGTAGCAGTCAGCGTCGCCTGAGAGACAAGGTGCTCCTGTTTGTGTAGGCAAGACTGGAGATATGGGACAGTGGTTGACGGGGGGGGGTTGACAGGGGGGGGCTTGTGTGGGGGGAGGGAGGGACAGGGGGGCTTGTGAGTGGGGGGGGGAGGGAGGGACAGTGGTTGACGGGGGGTTGACGGGGGGGGGGGTCGTGTGGGGGGAGGGAGGGACAGGGGAGGGCTTGTGTGGGGGGGAGACAGGGGGGCTTGTACTCACCTAGTTGTACTCACCTAGTTGTGTTTGCGGGGGTTGAGCTCTGGCTCTTTGGTCCCGCCTCTCAACCGTCAATCAACAGGTGTACAGATTCCTGAGCCTATCGGGCTCTGTCATATCTACACTTGAAACTGTGTATGGAGTGAGCCTCCACCACATCACCCCCTAATGCATTCCATTTGTCAACCACTCTGACACTAAAAAAGTTCTTTCTAATATCTCTGTGGCTCATTTGGGCACTCAGTTTCCACCTGTGTCCCCTTGTGTTAAATAGACTGTCTTTATCTACCCTATCAATTCCCTTCAGAATTTGAATGTGGTGATCATGTCCCCCCTAACTCTTCTGTCTTCCAGCGAAGTGAGGTTTAATTCCCGTAGTCTCTCCTCGTAGCTCATACCTCTCAGCTCGGGTACTAGTCTGGTGGCAAACCTTTGAACCTTTTCCAGTTTAGTCTTATCCTTGACTAGATATGGACTCCATGCTGGGGCTGCATACTCCAGGATTGGCCTGACATATGTGGTATACAAAGTTCTGAATGATTCTTTACACAAGTTTCTGAATGCCGTTCGTATGTTGGCCAGCCTGGCATATGCCGCTGATGTTATCCGCTTGATATGTGCTGCAGGAGACAGGTCTGGCGTGATATCAACCCCAAGTCTTTTTCCTTCTCTGACTCCTGAAGAATTTCCTCTCCCAGATGATACCTTGTATCTGGCCTCCTGCTCCCTACACCTATCTTCATTACATTACATTTGGTTGGGTTAAACTCTAACAACCATTTGTTTGACCATTCCTTCAGCTTGTCTAGGTCTTCTTGAAGCCTCAAACAGTCCTCTTCTGTTTTAATCCTTCTCATAATTTTAGCATCGTCCGCAAACATTGAGAGAAATGAATCGATACCCTCCGGGAGATCATTTACATATATCAGAAACAAGATAGGACCGAGTACAGAGCCCTGTGGGACTCCACTGGTGACTTCACGCCAATCGGAGGTCTCACCCCTCACCGTAACTCTCTGCTTCCTATTGCTTAGATACTCCCTTATCCACTGGAGCACCTTACCAGCTACACCTGCCTGTCTCTCCAGCTTATGTACCAGCCTCTTATGCGGTACTGTGTCAAAGGCTTTCCGACAATCCAAGAAAATGCAGTCCGCCCAGCCCTCTCTTTCTTGCTTAATCTGTGTCACCTGATCGTAGAATTCTATCAAGCCTGAAAGGCAAGATTTACCCTCCCTGAATCCATGTT